TAAATCATCTGATCAAATAGAAATGTGTCGACGTAAGGGAAATTTAAAATAAAGAAAATTGAAACAGTGTCGACGCGACTACGATTTTTAAGAGGCAAGGATAGTCACGTGACTTTTCTAACATTTTTCAGTAACATTTCAACGTTTTTTGCCCTATGATATTGATTGTTTTCAATGAAATGATCAAACAGATTGTTTTCATTGAAATAATGACCAGAGCGCGGCAAATTTGATTTTCCTCTTTCTGAAGAGGTACCTGACGACCGTAAAAAATTTTCATACAAGAACGAAAAGCGTATTTTTGGCTAATTTTGTGGGTAACATTGACAGTCTGCCTTATCGCGTTGCTATCGGACTCCAACCCTTTAATGCATTGACGAGCACTTGAATAAGGGATGATAAAGTGAAATGGATGACTCACTGCGATGAGGAAGATGCAACCGACGAGAAATATAGTTTTCATTCTGATATACTTCGATGAAATTCACGGAAATCAAGGCACTGACTGATGCCCAGCGACGTGTGAACGTCATATTTATACAGAAGTGGCGGAAATATGTGTCGAACATCTCGCGAACAAGTGTTAGGTTCCTCATTGCGAAATAACACAGGAAGAGAAATAATTGGTCTCGGTAAGAACTCTCCGCTGTTTTACGTAACGTCATTGCGATGGGGATCGAGATACGTACGGGAAAAACGACTAATTTCTATCGTCTACGCTTAGAACTGATAATTAGACTTGATTGGTCTCGTAAAGGAATATAAATAACGGCGACCTTCAGTGGGAAACAATTAAAATTTATTTTTTAAACGTAACATTTTACGATGGACGTGTTCATGTCAGATGGACGGCCATGATTCACCCGATCAGCTCCGCGCTGACAGCTTCTGCGTCTCCACGTAACGACGTGGGAATAGTTTTTTTTAGACACTTTTTGCGGTCGACCGATTAACATAAAAGATCCGAGAGGTCTGTTTATTTCGCTTAATTCTCGTTGATCGTTCTAACGTTCAAAATTAATTCCAATTAATTATTAATTACTAATTCTTGAAACGACGCCGGAAAACGGCGAGTCTTTTATTACAAAGACCGTGGGGAATAATTTTCAAGCGTTATACAATACGTAACTAGTTTGTATATCGCAGTTCAAGGATTTTCTAACGAGGAGTAATAATTCCAGAAATTCCACGAACCTGACATTTATTTAATTAACAAAACTAAATGTTTACTGCGTACAATTCTAATTTGCATTATCTTTAAAATGAAACAGCAGTTTTTTTTTTTCCCATCATCATTCGATATAATTTTCCAATTAGCCTGAACGAGGCGTCATACCTTTTATCGGATAGCTCCGAGCTTGAATTATAATTATATGGAAAGTGATTTAGTAGGGGAAATGATATTAAAACCAGTTTATATGATACAATATATTTGTACAGTTGTGTTGTCGTAGCGTTCAGGAACATGGGAATTACGAATGTTTAAATTAAGGATTTGAAAGTTGTTCCTGATATGTTTGCCACGTTCAAACTCTTCTGCACTGTGGCTTCCTTCGATTATCCTTGCAAACTGCTCTCGATGTTCTCAGGTAACTGCGACGATGACGATGATTCTGTCGTTTGAGCAATAGGAAATTGTCATCTCGCGATTCGGTCGTCAGGTTCATGGGGCGAGGTACAGCTGCGTAAAAGAAAGATCGATCGATCAGTGAGTAAACGAAACGAAACGAACGAATATTAACCCTTTGGGGACGAGTGTCGGCATATAGTCGCCCAAGCCGTTTTACCGTTCCGGACGTGTTTGTTTATAATTATTTTTTGACTTTATGAACAATTTTTCTTGTGTTAAATAGAGCCTTAGTTTTTATAACGTTCAACGTATTTATTTTCTTTACTGCGCACTCCAATACCTCTCGTCCTCAGCGACGCTCGCTCGTCGAGCGGCTCCGACCCCAAAGGGTTAGAACAGATTTCTCTGCGAATGCTACTACGAATCGGACCAGCAAACGTATCACAGTCGTCGTAATGATATTTAAGAATCACCTCTTTGTCCACGTCCCAAACGCACTTGCCAAACTCCCAGGCAACCTCGCAGCCATCCGTGGCCGTCACTGGAAATCACGATTTAATCATCGGAATAAGTGTCTCTCGATCGTATTTTTGTTTAACCCTTTGACTACTGTTGGCGCCTATTGGCGTCCGAAACACATTGGCTTTCCGGTACTGTAGGCGCCAATTGGCGTCCAAATCAAATTTCGCTTGTTCCGCCTATTTTAAAATTTTATAATTGGTCTTATGGTAATGTAGAGTAATGTAGAAAGTTATTTAAAAAAAGCTTAAAATTAATGTTCACTTCAAGTAATATTCGTTTAATGTAATAAATTTCAGTATTTTGAATATTTTAATATACTTCCTCAGAAATGCATGTCTAACGAAAAATTTCGCCGTACCCAGTGGACGTCTCGAATGAATTCGTACCGTACCGTACGGCCAGTGCGTGCCAAAGTCTGCCGTAGTCAAAGGGTTAAA